CCCCCCCCCCCCCCCCCCCGTCCTCCCAGCTCTGACTCAGCCTTTCTCAGCAACCATTCCCAGGGTCCCCGCCAGGGACCAGACCTCAATAGGAAGCCACTAGGTCCCCAGCTCTGGCTCAGCCGTTCCCATAGAAGCAGGAAGGCAGTGCCCAGGTTGGTCAGGGCTCCAGCCTGGGGGACCTGGTGCTGTGGTCACTGTGCCCAGCCAGCCGGGAGTCCCTGGCCAGGGTTGGGTTCCTGGAGGGGCAATGGACAGCACAACTCAGACCGCCATCCTCCTGGACACAGTCCAGCCAGCAGCGACGGACAGCTCTGGCGGGGGCCACGCAGGCAGCGGCCCGAGGACCCGCCGCACCCAGAGACCCGGCTACCGGGCACACGCTTGCAAGTGGGTTTCGAGACAGCTTGTCCCCAGACGGAATGGGAACCCTGCCCCTCAACCCAGCTGGGAATGAAGGCCCTGGGCTCCATGGGAACCCAGCCCACCTTCCCGACACCCGCACTGTGCCCTCCTCCACCCCCTACACTGGCAACTGGCTGTCCCAGATTGGTGACAGACACACACACACACAAAGGGGACAATCACTCCTTCCCCTCCTGCTGGGGATCCAAAAGAGGTGATGTCCTGTGCCTTGTTCTGAGGGCCCAGAACCCAGGGCTCTGCTGGCCTCCAGCAAAGTGGGCCAGGTTTCCCTCCCTCAAGAGGACACCAGCCCCCAACCCATCTCCAGGGCCAGAGGGGACGGAGGCCGAGGACAGTCATGACCCCAACAGCCTCCTCTGTGGGGGCGGCTACACAGAGCAGCTCCGAGAAAGCCCGTTTCCGGACTGGACCCCTGGGAAAAGCAGGTGGGGCTGCTGGGGCACATACCCCCAGCGGTCCCGGCAGGGGTCACGTGGGGGTCCTGCTGCCCTGATCCCTCGGCAAAAGTCTCCCGATACCTACACTTGCACGGACACAGGGACAAGTTTGTCTTAAAGAGAAAACAAAGCAAATGAAGAACTGAAAGCAAAGCAAACCCGACCCCCAGGACTGGCGGCGGGGAGCCCGCAGGAGCGCCCCGCGGACACTCAGGGAGGAGTCGTGGGCACCGGTGGCCAACAGCCACACCTACGTGATGTCCCTCTGCCGCGGCGGCCGGTGCACGTTCCGCACGACGCACTTCACCATCCACTCGATGCCCTCACGCACCCCTTTGCTGTGGAGACAGCAGGCATGAGGGGGTGGGCCGCTCGGGGCCCGCAGCCCCCGGGGCGAGGGCCCCCCACTCACCCTGTGAGAGCCGAGCAGGCCTGGGTCAGGCAGTCGCGCCTGCCGATCTTGGAGCTGCAGTCGCTGAACGCAGTCTTGATGTCGGGGATGGAGAGGCAGGTCTGGGAGAAGGGGAAGCAGTGAGGGGCGGGGTGCTGGGGCCCTGCAGACCAGGGACTGGTCTCAGTGGCAAGGGGCTGGGCTTGGGGCTTCTCTGCCTAGAGGGCTCCTGCAGCAAGTGGCCTGGGAGAGAGGAAGGAGCAGGTGGCACGGGCGGTCCACAGGACACGAGGGACAGATGTAAGTGACCTCCAGTGTCCCCGACCTGAAGGCACAGGAGCTGCAGAAACAGGCCCCGCGGAGCACCCGCCCCCCCGACGGCCTGAAGCAGCCGCTGCCCCGCAGACAAGCCAGGGTCAGAGCTGACCCCCACCCTGGGAGTCAGGACGGCATCCCGTCCCGCACAGGACGTCCCCACCGCGCCGGCAGCCAGGCCAGGGCGGACGGATAGGCCACGCTCACCCTCCTGCGGAGAGAAGGCCCCGCGCACCCTGGGAGGGCTCTGCTCACCCGGGACACGTGTGGCTTGGGGTGTCCAGGGCAGGCACCCTGTCCCCCAGCCCCCAGTGATGGGGCCCACTGACTCTGGGGACCACACCTGGGGATGCTGGGAGAGGCTCACCTCGACGTCCTGTTTGTTGGCCAGCACCAGTATAGGGACGCCGTCCAGCGCCTCACTTGTGACCATCCTCTCTGAGGTCAGGCGGGAAGGTGGCGGTGAGCACCCACTCGGAGAGGCCTGCCCACCGCTCCGCAAGTGCTTTCACTCCTGGCCACGGCCCCGCCCGCCTGGTGTGGACCCAACCTCCGGCCAGGGCCAGCTCCAGGCCCACGGGATGGGCAGAATGGCCCTGCCTGCTCCCCGCCCCCCTTCCAGCCCTAGCCAGGTTGCACCCACCAAACGCTCGCTTGGACTCGGCCAGCCTCTCCTCGTCCGTGGAATCGATGACGTAGATGACGCCGTGGCACTCCGCGTAGTACTGGGGAGGGAAGAAACGGGGTGCTGGGCCAGCCCCCGCACTCGAAGGCCCTTCTGGGGAGCTTCCAGGGAGTGGGAAGGTAGGACAGATGGCGACGCGGCCCTAGACTCCTCCAGTGTGGGCCTGCTGACCTCGGGCAGGGGGTGGCCAAAACCCTCTGTCCACTTCCCGGGTGCCGTGCCCCCAAACTCCACCTCAGCATCTGCTTCTGAAAACCACCCACGACTGCTGGCCTGACGGCGGCTGGAGGAGGACAGCACTTGAGAGCTGGAGCCCAAACCAAGCTGGTCCCCACACAGGTCTGGAAGCAGGGGGAGGGCACTAGCCAGGTCACGTGCCAGTGTGGACAGCAAGCCCGGTGGCCACACCACCAATGAGCCACAGAAAGGCCACCAAGGGGAGAAGCAGGGCTAAGGACAGGGCCAGCAACACGGAGCTCTGTGCGCTGCACTGGGGCCAGGACAGCGCTCAGCCCCAGGCGCGCACAGGGCAGCGGGACCAGAGCCCGAGGCCTGGGGAAGAGTTCTGTGCGGACAAAACCGGACAGATGCACCAAGTGGGGCGCGTGAGGGGAATGGAGTGTGGGACACGGGGGCACAGCTGTGCCCATGGCGAGCCCAGCGCCTGCCCCAACCGGGAAGGAAACCGGAAGCAGGCACGTCACTGAGCAGACCACAGGAACAGCAGCACCACTGCCCCGTGGTCACGAGCGCCCGGAAGCCGGAGGCACCCACACGTCGCACACAACGCAACGGCACGCCGGGCACAGAACTCAGGGAAGTTCTCAGGGTGGGACCGGGGCCTGCCACGTGAGACGGGCTTTCCCACCTGCGCTTGCTGCCCGGCACGGGCAGCCACCCAGGGTCTGCAGGCCACAAGTCACACACACGGTGACCCGTGCCCAGTGGCGGGGGCCTGCAGGGGCTCTGGGCAGCAAGTGGTGGGGCGATGGGGGGCTGGCCGGCCCGACAGCAGAGGTGTCCGGGCGGAAAGGGCCACTGCACGAAGCCGGCAGCAAGGCTGGGGCGAGGGTCACCTCACAAGCCCTGCAGCGCGTGACCCGGCCGGGCAGACGGGCGTCACATGACGGCCTGGCACCAGTCAGAGCAACTGGAGCTGGACATCCGGGGCTGAGCCTGAGCAGGACCAAGAGCACAGCAAGCGGCCTCGACCCCAAGGCACCCCGAGGGCACCCTCACCTGTGGCCACATGCTGATCTTTCAGACGTGGCCTCGAGGAACAGAGGCCAGAAGTGCTCCGTGTGCCAGGCACGGCAGTCCCCCCGTCTCATCTGTGTGGGAAGGTGTGGCCCGAGGCTGGTACGTGGACGGACCCACGCGCAGCAGCACACAGCCTGCCCGGAGGCAGGGAGCAGAGGAAGGTCCGCCAGTCGTCTGCCTGGGACGACACGACGAGCCCGACCAGCGTCCTGGCTCCAGACTGTGCAGGGGGCCCAGGGCCCAGCCCGCGGCATCTGGGAATCGTGATGCAGCACGAGTTCTATTTCCCATCCAACCTGGTGACCCACAGGGGGCTCTGCTCCTCACAGCTCTGGGCCCTGAAAGGCTGGGGGTAGGGTCACCACCAAGGCACCCCTTCACTGAAGGCTCAGCAAGAGACCTGCGGGGACACAAACCCTGGCTGCCTGTGGGACGCACTAGGCACCGTGGGTTCAGGGGCCAGCAGAGACCCTGGCCTGGCAGGGGAGGCAGGGCGCCCGCTCCACGCTCCACAGGGGCCGGGAAGCTCCCGAGGAACCCAGAAGTCAAGCAGAGAAGGGGCCTCTTGGGAGCCCCGGCAGTGGCAGCGGC